AAACAGATCTATCAGAAGTAAATGTAGCCTCAAGATTCAAGATAGCTTTTTAAAATAACAGAAATTCATTTGAAACCAAACAATTTTAACATAAATTGCCATAATCACAATAATTCTTCTATATACAGTCTAACTTTCCTAATTCGACTTTGCCTAACTCGAATAATTTCTAAGTCGATCATATTTTACAGGTTTTATCTAATAGTCAAACAATTTTTCAATGGCATTTTGGATTCAACTTACTGTAGTCAAGTTCAACTATATTAAAACCAAGCTTTCTTGGTACACTAATTAATGTAATTCTAGAAATTTAAAGATTATTTATTTTTATAGTACCGGTAACCATATATTTTTTTTAAAACCAGTCTGTTGATTGGCACTTTTCTCCTTTACTGATCCATTACAAACGTAAAACACATAAACAACTTACAGTAGCTGTACTTTGAATTTAATAACCCTTCTCCCAATTGAAACATGGTAAATTTGTCCATTTAAAGCCAGCTAAGCATGTGCAACATGAGGTATTGCCTCTTCTTAAGTGGAGTTCAATTGCTTCAAAAAACAATACATATAATCATAGCCTAGACCTGGACTGGAATGATGTTCATTTATTGAAAGAATGCCAGACTAGGCTACCTACAGTAGGCCTAATAAATGATTTTTTTTTTTTTACCAACACTCGATTTTGACTGGTTGGTCAGTTATTTTTACTCTTAAAATTGATGGCTAAAACGGCTTCAGGGGAAACACTGCCTTCGTAAATTCATATTAAAACTCAAGTTATTTACAAAATACTGATTACCACCCTATTGTAATATATTTAAAAATAATAATTTAATATTTAATACTTCTAAAAATAGGTTGTAAACAAAATAGAAATGTAAAATATTAAATTTCATTCATGTTATACTTTATTTTCACAAAATCATGGGCGTAAGAGTGTGACTAGGGAAATTAGTTCCACTAGGTGGGTTAAAATGCTAAAACTGACGATAAGTTTTCATTGGAAAAGGTATTTAGCTCTAGGTGTTTAGAAATCTCAGATCTAGAAAACTCACACCTTAGATCTCAAGAGAGGGGAGTGAATAGTGTGGCTAGCTACAGCCCTTCATTTACCGTGAAAAAAGAATAATGGTCACTCGTCTTGTGTGTGTGCTTCTCGTGTACTCTGGTAAAACATGAGCTCTCCGACAGGCGGTACTTGAGCTCATAGGACCAAGCTGGAGGAAGGGTTTGAGAGGGTGTTCCCCCTCCCAAATGAGATTTTTTTAAAAATAGGAACCTCTGGATGGCCAGAAATGACACTTTCAGACTGTGACGATGTCTGTATTATTATTATTATTATTTAACCCTTTGTACCTCAAAGTTTAAAGTTAAAATTTACCTCTAAAAATAATGTTATATGATCTGTTAATTTAAAGATACAATGAGTTTTCTAATTCTAAAAAACTCATTTATCTGAGTTTTCTAGACAACCAATTAGTTCCACATTATCAATTTTCACACCCTTCCCTCTCCCCACCCAAAGCCAGCCGTTGCCCCTGCAAGATTGTATTTAAACCATCTACTGTATATCTTCAGACCATCTACATTCAGAGCTATCTAAAGTTACAGTAGGGGTGGCTCGTCAGCGTTAGAAGGAGCTATGGGGTCCCCTTTCCCCCTCCCCGATTGGGAAGGAAACTGCAATTCATTGGGGAGAAAAAAAATGTATTTTCTAGATATTAGTACCTGTATGTATAAAATTGTTTAATTAAAGCCTTTGAAACCCCTAAATGGTCATAATTTTGAAAAATAGTCCATGGAGCAAAGCACATTATTCTAATAATATGTGCTTACCCAGCCCTAACTGTGGTGGGGCTGAGGTAAATGTGGGCCATTTTTAGGTATTGGGTTGGTCATTGGGGAATTTCTGGCACCGGCATTGTTTTCAGTATGCCTACTTTGTAGGTCATACTAAGTCAATTTTTTTATATTTTTTTTCAACACTATAAAACTTAAAGTGCTCTGATCTTAATAAAGTAGCTCTATATAAATGTCGCATTATTATTATTATTATTATTATTATTATTATTATTATTATTATTATTATTATTATTATTATTATTATTATTATTTTTATAATTATTTTGATTCTAATTATTATTATTTTACTCAGAAAATTTCTAGGTTGGTTAGGATCGGAGAATCGGGGGTACAAGGTTTTTTTATCCTGCTCACTTTCCCCATATATGCTACCATATTCCCTCATTTTAACAATTTATAGCCTATCGTAGTTGATGTTGAAAAACAAGGGGTACATAATGGGGAAAAATGTGGAAGGACATGGAAGATTCCATCTTTAATTCAATGATTAAAATAGTTAACTCATGATTTGAATTGGTAACCAGCTATGGTCCTCCGTATAGGGCCATTTAATATATTTTGTCATTTATAAATTCATAGTTTTCTAATTTTTAAATTTGTTTTTGAAAATGAATGGTAAGGCGATCATAATCCGTGCCCCCATTGAGTGATTAATATTATCAATAAACACTTGTTATCTTTCACAGTAGGGTTTTCAAATTGCTTGCAATTGAAATCAACGTATTCGCATAATTCAGCATCATAAATATACTTGTTTATTTAATTTTAATTTATGTTTTTTGATTTAATGTTGGTACAGCAGGCATCTTGACGTGACACCTTTAAAAGCATCATGTTCTGCTATGTGAGAAAGTGGATAACAACACAAGAATACCAGATGTTGGTAAGTGGAATGATATTTCATCTTTTCAAATTAATAATATGTTAGACTTTTATATAGTGCTTAAACGTCAATAAGGCCTTTAAGAGCTTTCATTTCATTTCATTTTATTCAGGAATTAAAATCAAGATTACTTGAAAATAAAACAAATACAAAGAACAGATAAAAGATAAAGAACCCAAGAAAGTTTTACAATATATAAAACTTATTTCCATTGGGGCCCTTAAAAAATTGTAAACATTTTTATCACGCAAGAAACATAAACCAGTTAACAATAAAAAGCCAAAATTAACAAAAAAAAACAAAAACTACCCCCAGTGGATTAAACGCCTATGGAACACAAACATAATGCTCCCAGGTGGAGTATTCCATTATCAGCATTTTTTGGCATTTAACCCCACCAGGTACCCATAAATTACTCCTGTGTTGAGAGAAGCAATGCAGATAAAGTACCTTGCTCAAGGACACAAGTTAAATGCACAGTGAGGGATTAAAACCGACTCCAAGTTTGAGAAACCAAACTGTCCAACTACGCCAAACCACTTCTTTCAATTGTGATGTAGGACTAGTATCGAGTGTTAATTTATAGCCAATGGTTAATTTGTGATTTGTATTGTAAAATTATATATTGTTGCATTTTCTTTGATATACATGGAGTGATTTTTGATGAGCATCCACCCACCATTTTAAATTAAATAATTTAATTAGGAGTTATTCCTTACCCAAACTGAGTTACAGATTATTTCTGGGGGTCAAGAAAACAAAAATTTTCCATTAGGGTGGATTTGTCTGTGGATCTGCCCCTGATAATAATAAAATAATTTGACTTATGAAATGATTTGTACCATATACAGTAAGTAATCTTCAGCAGAAGTAAAACATTTTTTTTTTTTTTACTTTTTGGTACAATTAAATAATTGTTGTACAATATTTCATCTTATATTAAATTTTAATCCTATCCTTTTTCCATTCATGCAATATCACCATAAGTGATACACACTTAATTTACAATCTCATATTTGAGTTTACAATGTTACAATGTGTAAATTACCATTCAGGAAAGTTCACTGTGAACTCACCAAGAGGGGTCTGCACATTAACAAGCATTGTCTTGGGATATATTATAGTCAGGTTTTATCAAACTTGTATTGATGTTGAATTTATATAAAGTTATTAAATGTAGTTTTTTTTAATGAATAAAAACATGTTTATTAGCAATTATTTAAAAAGTAATAAAAATAATATAAGTCCAAATATTTGTTGGTTAAATCTAATATTCTTTTTTAAAAATGTTTTTCAATTACAGATCTTGCTACAGTTAATTCATTTGCATATATAACCAGACCAGCAGTCCTGATTACAAGGCAGGAAAATGATGAATATTCATTAAAATCAACTTGAAACTGCAAAACTCAGGAAAACTAGAGAACTGACACCAAGTCCGGAACAACTTCTGAGAGGCATATATATCTTCCAGCGGGGCCAAGGGTGGTGGGTGGCGCGTAGGTTCCACGGCAGCCGATCGCCTGTGATAGGCGATCGCTTCCGCTTGGATCCTCCCTACTGTCTTATTGCGCGAGATGCTAACGAAATTTTCAAAAAAAGTTTCGTTAACATTTATTGGATTGTATGTGTGATTTGAAATACATGACGCTACAAAAGAGTTGTAGTACAATAGAAATGGTGTTGCAATTAGTTTTATTCAAGTCCAGAATTTTAACTAAGTTCAGAATAGGACTCAACCACTTACACTAAGTCCAGAATATTTACTAAGTCCAACACTAAGTCCAGAATATTTACTAAGTCCAGAATTTGAACTAAGTCCAGAATAGGACTCAACCATTTTACACTAAGTCCAAAATAGGATGCAACCACTTACACTAAGTCCAGAATATTTACTAAGTCCAGAATAGGACTCAACCATTTACATTAATTTAAACTAAAGTCCAGAATAGGACTCAACCATTTACACTAAGTCCAAAATAGGACCAATAATTTACACTAAGTCCATACCATTTACATTAATTTAACTAAGTACAGTATAGGACTCAACCATTTACATCAATTTAACTAAGTCAAGCATAGTACTCAACCATTTGCACAAGTCCAGAATAGGACTCAACCATTTATACTAAGTCCAGAATTATATAAGTCCAGAATAGGACTCAACCATTTACACTAAGTCCAAAATAGGACCAATAATTTACACTAAGTCCAGAATTGGACCAATATTTTACACTAAGTCCATACCATTTACATTAATTTAACTATTAGTACAGCATAGGGCTCAACCATTTACATTAATTTAACTAAGTCAAGCATAGTACTCAACCATTTACACAAGTCCAGAATTTTAACGAAGTCCAGAATAGGACTCTACCATTTACACTAATTCAAGAATTTTCTAAGTCCAGAATTTTACACTAAGTCCATGATAGGACCAATAATTTACACTACCCTACCACCAGAATTGGATCAACATTTTAACTTAAATTCAGAATTTTATCTATAAGCCATTAGTCCAGAAATTTAACTCACAATGGGACCAGCCTTTTAAATTAAGTTCTGAATTGGGCCAACATTCTATATTTAACTAGGTCCAGAATCAGACAAAAACTTCAGCATTTTTAAAGGTCAACACCTATTTTACTTACTAAATCACAAACTTCACTTGGCAAACTGTACTTTAATTCATAATCATTCATTTATGGATGCGCAAAAAATGTCTGTTGTGGTTTAAACTTTTCACAATTTATCTGCTTCATCTCCATACATCAGAGTTTACTAAGCTTCAAGTACCAGTATACTGTACACTACATAATTCAAAGAAATTAGTCTATTTCTCAAAGTTCATTACTTCATTTCTATATGTTAAAATTTGACTTCCACGCTTTATCTCAGTCTGATGTTGCTAAGCTTCAGTTTCCAGGGTTCAAACTAATCAGTCCTGATTTCTCACAATGCATTTCTTTGCTCAACCATCTTTACAGCTTCAGTTATCCAAGCTTCCAACAAATCTGACTGGACATCCAATTGTTTATCTGCTTCATACAATAACAAACTCTTACTGAATGCTTGTCTTCGAAAATCCACAATAAACATGTGCCTGTGTTTCCTGGAAAATATAGAGAACAAGAATTATCTAACTACGATAGTACAATTACACTATTATATAACTGCAAGTATTATAATAATATCATCTACTTAAATAAGATTACAGCAGTCATTTACAAGACACATAATTTACAGACTTATTGTTGAACAAGAATAAAAACAAATTTAACTTTTGAAATGCTAGTAGAAGTTTTAACATTGCTTATAAGGTTTTCTGAAATATTGAATATATAGATACTGTATATGTAAGTAATAATTTTACAAATTACAATAAAAAATATTCAATTTATTTACAAACAAGTGCTGTGCACATGTGGGAAATATGAGTAAATGTAAATTTGAAGAAGTTCTGTAGTGTAGCATTGTATAATGTCCTAAGTTCCAGTACATAGGGCTAAAGACGTAGACTACATCGAGCATGATGAAGTGCAGGATAATTGATCTATGAGGGTTGACTTTTGATAAATAAATTAAGCAAGGACTGAGGAACTACCTGGAGACCAATGGCAGCAAATTGTTTTGAGTATGGAGGTTGGGGGGGGGGGAGATTTTATAATGTAATTCACCATGTGATGGCAGTGGCATATCTAGGAGATGCTTATTGGGGGCGCATAGGGTAACGGGGGGCTTGATGGGCGCTAACTTACACAAATCAATGGTGTTCTATTATTTTCGGGGGGTGTTTCTCGTGGCAGAATGAATAGGCAATTAGATAGGCAACATCTGCCCAAAGCAAGCCTCTAGGCTGGTGGCCAGAGGCCACCAAGGAAGTTTTATACCAGACTATATTTTTATAATAATAAAATAGTAACAAATTAATAAAATTTTCACCACTATCTGCCAAATGTTAATATTATTATAAAATTTTATTAATTAGAAATTAGATGATAAATGTATTCAGAAATTTATTCTGTTTTTCTATTTAAAAATATATTTTAAATATGGTACTTTAATCTTAAGTATTAACAAATAATGTTCAGTTTCTTAGAATTAGAAAATAATTTCCTTACCTGTTGCAAAGGTGCATAGTGGTGGTGTACTCATGGCTTTAAGATCACACAACTTTTTTCCTATTCTGAAATATTGAATATTTAGAAATAAGTAATAATTTTACAAAAAATATTCAATTATTGATTACAAACAAAATGCCGTGATAATATATATATATAC